ATTTTTTAATCCTTCTGAAGTCAGCTTAATGAGTGGTAATAATTAGGGTTGGGTGATTCTACTTAATCTTAGGGGCTTTACTTCAATACCAACCTAGGACAGAATCACCAATACCAGTACATTTTCTACTACAAGCAGCATATGTACTATCTTGTGTAGGAATGCCATGTCATGCTTTATGTTCATTACTAGAAAATTATTTGCCAAACATTAAATAATTGCATGTTAAAACAGAAGACACTTTTAAATGGTAACAAAATGTTTCTCAACAAATGTGTGAACTCTATGATCCAAGACTGTGGCTGCTACACTGCACGTGTACAAAGCAGCTGTAGAGAAAGAGAGTGCATGCTTTTGAAAAATGAAGTTAAATGGATCCGTTTTAATATATTGATCCAACTAGTATCGATTTTCACAGCAAGACTTGATTACTATCAACTCTTTAGTTAATTCTTAAGTTAATTTGTTTCTGTGAAAACCATCACTATGTAGAACCCAAAGGTATGTTTGTATTCACCTGGTATAGTTTGAATTTTCAGCCATTAGCACTGCATGCACCTCCTGTTCAGGTATAAGGTTTTTCTCCCCATCAGGTTAGGAATGGAGCATGATGGGCAGGGGAATCGTTGCGCTGATGAGACCAGTATGGGCAGCATTATGGCACCACTTGTCCAAGCAGCTTTCCACCGCTATCACTGGTCACGTTGCAGTAAGCAGGAGCTCAATCGATACATCCAGTATGTTCTGCTTCTCCTGTGCCATCATTTCTCTAATGGGTGTAAATCTGCACAGCATTAGAACAATCTCCTTATCTTGTCTGTTCTCACGTGTTATGTTGCATTTATCACAGTTTTTATTCTCATCTGCTCCTCAGCTCCTATGATTGCCTGCTGGATGATCCCTTTGAACACAAGTGGCCAAAGCTCCCTGAGCTTCCTGGAATAAATTATTCAATGGACGAGCAGTGCCGCTTTGATTTTGGCGTTGGTTATAAAATGTGCACCGCTGTAAGTGATCTACAAAATATTGATTTGGTGGTTTAAATTATTTGCTGCTGGAGTCAGCAGAAATCACAAGGTCCCCATTGCAATAGATAATGAAATAGTATGGTAATACACTGTAGATAAAGAATGTGATAGATAAAGTGTGTACACATGGGATTGCCTGACAAACCAAGGCTCTTGTAAGACACTCTGTAGCACATGCTACTATAGTAAAACTCCAATGGGAATTTGAAACATTAAGAGGTGTGCCTCATCTTGAGCTCAGAGTAGTGTGAGTGAGTTTGTTTACTCATCTATATTTCCAGGATTATTAACTGAAGCACAGAATTGCTGTTTTCCTGTTTAGTTTCGAACCTATGACCCTTGTAAGCAACTGTGGTGCAGCCATCCAGACAACCAGTACTTTTGTAAAACCAAAAAAGGCCCTCCAGTGGATGGAACAGAGTGTGCACCGGGAAAGGTGGGGAATGTCTCTGAATCAGCTTTAAATCATCATTTTTCTCTACAGTACTTGCAAAGTACAACTTGTTGAGAACCAGAAGTGCTGCTGAAACAAAACTGAAAAGCCACAAATGGTTTCAAAGCCATTTTCTGTCATTAGTCTGGACCTTTTGAGATCTCTTTCAGCCTTTTAATCCTCTGTCTTTTCACTTGTCTTTGTCATGTTTTTAGTGGTGCTTCAAGGGCCACTGCATCTGGAGATCCAGCCAGCAGCCTCAGGGCCATGATGGGAACTGGGGCTCCTGGTCAAAGTTCGGCTCTTGTTCCAGAACTTGTGGCGGTGGAGTTCGCTCGCGCAGCAGACAGTGCAACAACCCTCCGTGAGTGCAGTGGAAGGGGTGCATCATTCTGGGGTGCAAAAAGAGAATAAGAGACTTAATTAAGCAATATTGGCTGCCCAATCATTTATATTTGTTATATGAATAGTTTTATATAATCTCTGTGTTCATCAACTAGATGGTGAATACTGAGACATTCCAGTGTGAACACATTACAAACTAAGAACCTGCTTAGAATGTATATGTAATATGAATTTAGGAGGCAGCACTTGTGCTTACTACACATGACATGTACACTATTCTCCCACAGTGCAATACATTATTACATTTTTACATAATACATTAAATAGTTACCAAAAGTGCAGTAGGAATATTTTTAAAAGTGTTTTTGTCAGCACTATCTACTGTATAATTATGCCCTGAAGAACAACCTTTGCATTTTTGGAATATCACGGTGAAATCCACCTTTTAGGGCATCATTTTGTTTGTGTCAATGATCAGGCCGGCCTATGATGGTCGAGATTGTCCTGGCTCTGCTTTTGACTACCAAATGTGCAACACAGAGGAGTGTGCTGGTCCCTATGAGGACTTCCGCGCTCAGCAGTGCATCCAGAGGAGCAACAAGTACCATAAAAACATCAAGCACACCTGGCTACCATATGAGCACCCAGATGGTAAGTGTGTGGAGAGTGAAATGAAGTCAGCTCCTTCTTCGAGCAGAGAGGTTGAGAGTTTCTTGCAAAGTAACAAGTGGGCAAATGATATTTGCAGGAGCAGCTGCCCACACACATATTTAGATTTAGGTTGGTGTTATATGTCCTCCTACTGATGTCTTTATCAGATGCTTGGAAGATACTTGGCTGAGTCAAATGATGTGTGGGTGTGTGTTTTTATTCCATTTTCAGATGCCCGCAAGTGTGAACTGAGTTGCAAGTCAAAGGAAACAGGAGAGGTGGTGTTCATGAACCAGGTGATGCATGATGGGACGCGCTGCAGCTACTCAGACCCCTTTGCTGTGTGCGCTAGAGGAGAGTGTCTGGTATGTCTTCACTAAAACCAATGGCATGTTTAAGACAGATAAAATACTATGTATTAAGTCATAATTTGTCAGATAGTTGGTTTTTACTGCAAGAAAATTTAATTTACCTTGTTAAAATTTCTTTAAATCTCACCTTTTCACTTTTCCTCATTGAAAAAAAAAACTGAATCTGAATATACAAATGTGGTTTACACAAATTTCATCATCTGTGTGTGTGCTCTAGTTTTCAAGTTCATCACACATGTGCAAGTTGCGCACTGAACCAGTACTGGCTTCCAAACTATTTGTAATGTCCAAAAATCCTGCTTGCATTTTCACATCTTATGAATTTTCAGATGAATGTGAAAACAGCCCTCTAGTGTCAAACTCTGCACACACATTCGTCTGCACAGTGAAGATCAAACATCCAAGGGATGTAACAGTAAATGAAACACATTGTTCAGTCAAACTGACTTTTAAATCTCACGTTCCCTGTCAAGTGATGAAACCCTTATATTTATAATCTGTATAATTAACACCTCAAAGTAATAATATCATAATAATAATAATAATATCATTCTTAACAACGTAGTTAAGAGTTAGACATGCTCTGTGATAGACTAGTGGCCTGTCCAAGGTGTACCCCGCCTCTCCGCCAGTGTCAGCTGGGACTGGCTCCAGACCCCCAAAGACCCTCTTCAGGATAAGCGGTATAGATAAAAGATGGATGGATGGATGGAGTTAGACCTTGAAAGCTACACCAATCAGCCATAACATTATGACCACTGACAGGTGAAGTGAATAACACTCATTACAGTGGCACCTGTCAGTGTGTGGGCTATAGTAGGCAGCAAGCGAACATTCAGTCCTTGAAGTTGACGTGTTGGAAGCAGGAAAACACGAGCGAGTATAAAAATGTGAGTGACTTGGAGAAGGGCCAAATTGTGATGGCTAACAACTGGGTGAGAGCATCGCCTACACTTCAGGTCTTGTGCAAAATTTTTAGGTTTCATTACATGCTGACATTAATTTCTATGATCTCTGGCATGAAACTAAGCTTTAGATCTGCACCCCTGTTTTTTCATATGGCCTTAGCCTCTACTGCATTTTGATGATGAAAATAGCAGCTTCCGAATCAGTTTCATTGTAAATAATTGTAAAGGAAATATTGCACACCTCTGCACTTTGCTAATACAAGCACACACAGTCTTTATTTTGTCTTAATATTCACCTTGGGCATGAAGGTGAGACTTTTATTGTGGCAGGCCACTCATTCAGTATTTTATCTTCATTCCTATTATGTCTGGGTGTGTTTCCAATGCACAACATCTTAAACCAGGCGCCAGACCAAATATGTGCTGTGTTTTTAATGGCTTCATTTTCCCAGCAGCAAAAGCTCAGCCTATATAAACACCAAATACAGCATTGTCCTGATTTGACCAACGGTCTTTTGCACTTCTCCACTTACAGCATGTCGGCTGCGACAAGGAGGTTGGTTCTTACAAACAAGAAGACAAATGTGGAGTGTGTGAGGGAGACAACTCCCACTGTCGCACTGTGAAGCTGACACTCACCAAGACACCCAAAAAGAATGGTAATTATATACTGTAAGGTCAGAAATCAGCAGCTCGTTTGAGTCATTAAATGTGATGGCGGTCATCATTTAAGCTCAGAATCACATATCCAGAGGCCCTAAACACATCCTCCCTTGTGCTTTTTTTACAGTCTTGATTTAAAAATAATGAGCTGTTATTACAGCCCAGAGTAAGTTCCGTCTGTTCAGGTCTCCCAACTGTATCATGTTGTGTCTCTTTGTCTTGTTAGGAATGCTGAAAATGTTTGACATCCCAGTAGGAGCCCGCCACATTGTAATTGAGGAGAACGAGACCTCTCCTCATATAATTGGTGAGTGTGTCTTAACAATTCCATTGATATTAAGTAGCAGAATCCACTTTGTGTGTGTGTGTGCAAGTGTGTGCGTGCATGACCACATCACATGACTATTCAGTAGTTGCTGAGTTTTTTACCTTGTGAGCTGCATAATGCAGTCATTGCTTTAGACAAGAGCACAGACAAGAAGTTCAGCTTCTTTACTGAGAAATCAGAAATACCATTTGAAAACAATTAAACAGCAACAAATGTTTTCAAAAACTATGATCCTCATGCAAGCAACACATACTATATGAACATCATTCCTATGCGGTATGTACTGGGACAAGATGCAAACCTTTCTGTTAACATTTAGCTGGGTGGGGTGCCCTGTGTGGTGTTTGATGTTACACAGAACTTATACAGTTTTACAGAAAACAGTTTGACAAGATCACCCTTCTATTCAGATCACTGTAAGGTAAGGTTTTGGGTGAGAAAGGAGCTGCAAAAATCTGTCACCGCTTGTATTATTCTCATCTAACTTGACACTTTTCATGCTGCAGTTATGAAGTAAATAATTTTCAATTTCATGGCAATATTCCGGAAGCTCAGTACAATAACAGCGTTTCTACAATAAAGGAAAAATCAATTGGCATTGTAGGTTGGGTTTGACATTCCATCTGCTTTGCCTAACAAACATTATCATTAACTGGAAACAGTAGAAAGACAGAAGCAATCACCACCAACAATCATCGTGCATAGAAAAGCGCTATACAAGTATAAGACCATTTAGATGTGGATGTAATTACTGTAATACAGCTATGAGTGACATCACAGGTGATGTGAACAAACAGTGTTGAGCTAAATATACTGTAGATGAGTAGGTGGAACGCAGTGCACTGAGAAAGGCTTTCAAGGTACAGTAAATGCAATTTGCAGCATGAAGCAGTGAGTCAGAACTTTTGAAAGTCTTCAGGTATGAGATGGAGTGACAGATTCACTAAGACTTACCTAGCTTTCAGTAGCCCTCTGTGTGAATGACGAATGAGTCAGGCTCCCTGTGACATTCAGCCAAACCCTTTGTCTCCACCTTTCTGCACTTTTTTCCTTTCTGGCTTTTAATAGCTCATGGGAAGAAGACATGACACAGAACTTGGAGGGATTGTTGTAGGCTTACTACTACATCAAACATCTCAAAATGCATACTAACATGATGCTTGTTTAAAGGGTTGTTGGTTGGGGAGAGAGTCTATCCTGAATTTCTGTTCAGTTTTTGAAATTTTGAATGTCTTCCCACCACATTTGCATAACATACCTTCTTTTCCCCCATAACTGACAGCTGTGAAGAATCAAGTTACTGGAAACTTCATCCTGAATGCAAAAAGTGAGGATGCTGAGTCAAAGACTTTCATTGGAAATGGTTTACAGTGGGAGTATGCCATTGATGGGGAAAAGGAGACCCTGAAAACAACTGGTCCTTTGCCTGAAGGCATCATAGTGCTGGTGAATGGCAGTGGATCATTAATTGGTTCATCACTTATTAATTAGTTTTTTGCTGAGTTGCATTTGCCTTCCAATGAACTCTCTTCACCCTTTTACAGGTAATTCCCCAGGAAGAAGATACAAAAGTCAGCTTGACATACAAGTATATAATACATGAGGACCTGTTACCACTTATTACCAACAACAATGTACTTCTGGCTGAACTGGACACTTATGAGTGGGTACTGAAGAGCTGGTCTCAGTGCTCCAAGCCTTGTGGGGGAGGTCAGTGAGTGTATGTGTAAATAAATAAGCAATTCAAATACAAGTGGTACAGTAGTTTTGTGCACGTTGAGATGACAGCAAAAGTGATTTAAGTCTGTGTCTGCAAAGAGATGAATCAATAATGAAAACAAATATTAGTTGTATCCCTAGATTAATTTAGATGACCATGGCAGTTGCACACATAAAGTATGGACAGTGGACTGACACATACTGTATATAAGTTACAAACAGTTGAGTTGTATTTTTGCCTATATTAACCATGCTATATGTATTTGGCCTTGCTGGAAGATTCATTACTGTATCTACACTTTTCTATCCCTCAGGTATTCAGTACACAAAATATGGGTGTAGGAGGAAGAGTGACAGCCGTTTGGTGCATCGAAACTTTTGTGAAACCAGCAAAAAGCCCAAACCCATCCGCAAACGCTGCAATGATCAAGAGTGCAGCCAGCCGACGTAAGTGACATAGTTCAACAGCTAATGGAGCCTACATATGTCCACCCTGAAATGATTTACTCAGTTGTAGAGGGAATATAAGTACTAATCTTGACTAGCGGAGGAGACAAATTGATTGTCAAGGTCAAAGTGTTTATTTGTCATATGCACAGTTAGGAAACATGTTTCCCTGTACAATGTCATTCTTACTTTGCCGTCCACAAGTTCCACATAATACAAGTGAAATATGAAGTAGATGAGCAATAACACAAATCTAAATAGGCAGTAACACAAATCTAAGGCACTTTAAAACAGCAAGTGAAGGAAGCAAATAAAATACAACAAGAACTCAATATAATGCAGAGAGAATATATGCTACATGGGAGATGTGATGTGCAAATACTCAGCAGTGAGTGTGCAATTATGCATGTGCAAAATGAGTATGTAAACAGTACAGATGGAATTACATGAGGTAGATCCTGAGTCAGCCTTCTAG